CGTTGACCAAAAGGGGACTCAGTCCCGTTTACTCTGCACCAAGAACCACTGTACCGGGGTGCCGCAAAACTGCTATGCCGGCCACAAGAGTCTTGCTGGCGACACGTGGGGCTCCTCCGCTGGGAATCTCCTGGTCTTTGAGCAACAAAAATTCATCTGAAAGTGTGGCGTCCTCTCGTTCTCTGCGCTTTCACTGGGAGCTACAATCCTGAGCTGCTAGTGATCAGCCATCTTCCAGGATCTCTTTAATGGCTCCAGAGAGTTCTCTGGCTAAAGATCAGTGCCGAATCTGTCAAGCAATGTTGACAATCTCATCAAAAGTGATATTCCCGCTGTGTTTAATGTTTTTCTGTTTCATTCTGTCTCTTGGTGGTTCCTTAAGGGCTTTGATGATCAGGGCAGAGGCAGAAGGCACCACCTCAGTCTGGCCCTGTCTGTTCTGAACGGTCAGTTTCACTGTAATCCTCAGGCCCTTCTAGTCACCCGTTGCCTTGGCAATGTCATCACCAACCTTTATTGGAGACAGACCCAGGGCGCCGATCTTGGGGGCAAGTGCAGAAGTGGCACCAACTTCACCCCCAGTGCACCTCAGGTATATGACTTTGATCTCGTTGGGGTCGAACTTCGGTGGCATGGCCGAGGCGGCTGGTGTCTGATGAACCCAGATTCGGGACGACTGAAGAGAGTTGCACCTTGGCCTCCTCCGAGCCAAAAGCTGAAAGCAGCAATTTCATTTTTAAAGAAAGAAATACAAAACAATCTACCTATTCACATTTTCCCATCCATACTTTAAATTTTAAAAATATGAAATAATGAAATACTTAGCAGATACAATTAATAAATTATGTATATATAATGATATTTCTACTTCATATTATGGCTACAAAGGTCAGGGAAGAGGGAGAGATATAAAAGAGAAAGAAACACAACACATGAGTGTCTTTTTTAAACTTGTTGAAGTTCAACCCAGGAGAAGGGAGGGGAGGGAAGGTTAAAGTTCTGATTCATCAACAAATACTACTTTATTTGTTAAAAATACAAAGCTAGGCCGGGCCCAATGTCTCACGCCTGTAATTCCAGCATCTTGGGAGGCTGAGGCAGGTGGGTCACCTGAGGTCAGGAGTTTGAGACCAGCCCGACTAACATGGTGAAACCCCATCTGAGCCTGAGGCAGGAGAATCGCTTGAACCAGGGAGGCAGAGGTTGCAGTGAGCTGAGATCGCACTGCTGCACTGCAGCCTGGCTGACAGAGCAAGACTCCAGATCCATTCAAAAAAAAAAAAAAAAAGGAAAGAAAGAAAAAAAAAAAAGAAAAATGGAAAGACAGGAGTGGGTCCTTGAGATAGCTGGTTCGAGTAGAACTCAGACATCAAAATTGAAACCCGCCCAATTTTCCAAAAAGCCGGATGCTCATAGAACTGAAGCTTGAGATACATCGGTACACCTACCGCCTGTTGACATTCCCTCCTCTTCGTCCCTCTGTTTTCCTTCCCTGCTATATAAGCCCCTAACTTTAGTCAGGGGGAGAGACAGATTGGAGGTTTGTCTGCCCTCTTACCGGCTGATGTAACCAGAATAGAGCCTTCTTCCCTGGCAATACTGGCTATCTCAGTGATAGGCTTTCTGTGTGGTGAGCAGCCAGACCTAGACCAAGCTCCTGGCAATCCAAAACAAAATCATAATTTTGTTTTGCTCTTTGCACCCTTGGAACCCCACCTGGGAGGGGCAGTCAAGGCAGACTTTCCAGAGAAAGTGATGCTGAAACAGAAATTTTGAAGAGCAAGGATTACCAAGCAAAGAACATTCCAGGAGAAGAAGCAGGAGGTGTGAAGGTAGAGGCCCTCAGGCGAGGGTGTTAATGGAATCGAAAACGGTTCAGAACCCCAGGTGGACGGTCAAGGTAGCAATGAGAGGACGTGGGACAGGAGACCACAGCGCTGCCCCAGGGTGACTGGAAGGCGACTTGAGAGGGGAGCTGGGGCGAGACAGGTGCAGGGGTTGAGGATGAGAAAGGTACAGAGTGGCTGGAGGAATCTCACCTGTAAGCACTTCAGGATGGGATGTCTGGATCCTGGTGCCAGTGACTGTGCGCTGGGGCGAGAGCCACCCTCGCCAGGGGTGCAGGGAGGCGAAAGGAGGGCCTGGGGCTGCGAGTCCGCCACACAGCGCCCTCATTTGTGCGCAGCCCCGGAGGTCTAGAGTGGGGAAGCACCCAACCCTCCCCCAGGGCCCAACCGAGCACCGCAGCGGGAGGTACGGGGTTGTCAAATGACAGTTTTGAGGTTCTAGATTGCCAAAAGAGCTAGTGACCGGTCTAGGGCACCGTGCCGTCTGGCATCTCCCTGGAGGCCGTGCGCCTGGCCCGAGGCTCAGCGCAGATCCGCAGTCGCCGGGTCAGTGCGGGCCCCGGAGTGGATCCGCGGGGCGGGGCGGGGCACTGCCCTTGCCCCGAGCTCGGCAGCCGCGGCCCAGGGGCGGGGGCGGCGAGATGCGGAAGTGCCCGGGCGGTTGGCGGACCGGCGGGAGGCGCAGCCCGGGCAGAGCTCAGCTTGGCCCCGCCGTCCGGCCGGTCTCCTGGGCGCAGCCACGCAGGCGCACCGCAGACAGGTGGGTCCCGGCCGCTGCGCGCTCCTCTCCGCGTCCCCGCCCGGCGCGCCTCTAGGGTAGTGGGAGCGGTACCAGCTACTGCCCACCCCCAAGTCCAGGCCTCGCCCCAGGCCTGCGCCCCCCAGGCAACTGTGGGCGGCGGGATAAGGACTGGAGTAGGGCGGGGTCCGCGTCCAGTTGTGCCTGGAGAGCGAGCTCGGGTGGGTGCCTACGGCAGGGCGCGCCCCGCCGGCCTGGGACCTCCAAGGCGCCTCCCACGTCCCGATCAGTTTGGGGTGCTGGCGCCCGGGGAGCCCCGAGGCCCAGGCGGCGGAGTCGGCACCGCTGAGGGTGGAGGCGCCAACTCTGCTGCTCTCCTTCCCCTTCGCCATCGCCCAGGCTGAGGGCTCCCGGACGCCCCGCAGGAGGCTGGCTTGGACCACCTAGGAGCGAGGCCAGATCCCTACTTTCGATGCACTCGCCCTTGCTCTTCCTGGGCCACCCTCACCCTTTTGGAAAAGAGGTTGAGGTTTAAAACGTTCATCCCCCGGGATCTTGAGGCCGATAGCAGGAATTGTGCTAGAGTTTGGGGGAAGACGGTGTCAGGTAGAGGCGGCGTCCCTGGGCTGGTGGCAGGGAATGATAGACGCCAGGCCCCGGAGCAGCGGAGAAGGATGGGGCGCAATAGTTCCTGAGCTGGTTTCTGTAGGGCCTGCCCCAGAACTTAAGGCAGCAACAATGAAGAGGCTAAACGTGAAGGAAAAGTAAGACTAGCGTGGCCGCAATGCAGAGGGAGATGGCGAGATCTATGGACCCCAGGAGCGGCAAGAGCGGGTACCGGGAGCAGAGGCGGGAGCGGGGGACTTTCCCAACCTCGCAGCCACGCTGGGCAAAGCAGGTGCTGCTCCTCCAGCGGCAGGAGGAGCGGTCCAGAGGCCGACCCCAGAGGTGTGGGCGGTTCTGCGGGCTCGCCCAAGGGGTGTGCCCCGGTGGTGCCAGGGGGAGGCGTAGGGGTGGAGGGGAGCGGGGCAGGGGCGGAGGACTGGCCTGGGCCTGGGCTCCCCGAGGGCCCAGAGTGGGGATAAGTAACCAGGACCAGAGAGGGCTCGGCTGTATGGATGTAGGAACCTCCTTTCTGCCCACGCTCCCAGTAGTTATGGGACCTGGGGTGCTGGGGCTGAGGGACTCCAAGAGTCTAGGGAGGCACTGGGAAATCACCCTTTTTTATCTAAAGGCCCTACTTTGGGGTTTTCCCCCTCTACCCTGGTCTTCCCCCACCATGCCCCTGGGAGGAACAGAAAGCAGCTTCTTCCCGGGCACCTGTTGTCCAGAGCCTCAGCCTATCTGGACCAGGGGAGCAGCAGGGCCCAGGGTGTGGGCAGCTCACCCGAAGGGCTGGGATTTAGGGTCAGAGCCTGTACAGGGAACTCCTTGTCCTCTCCCTGAGCTGGGTGTGGGTTTGCAAGGAGACATGTGACCTAGACCAACCCTGGGCACAGCAGGACCTGATGTCTGGCCACTCTTATGAGGATCAAGGATGGCTGTGGCACTTCCTCCCTCCCCCACTGGCCCCCTGGTGCCCAAGCCTTGCAGCTCCTGGGTGATGGTGGGGCACTGTCTCCTGGGCTCCAGCAGGGCCCTGGGTTGAGCTTCGGGCTCTCTCCCTTCAGCAGGGCCTTTAGGGCGCCCTCTGGATGCGTTGCTGCCTCACCCACTTGAGGGGGCTTCCTCAGGCCCTCAGCTGTTGGATTTCCCTCCTTTCAGGGGCTCAGGTCCATAGACTTAGGTCTAAGGCTGCATACATTTCACCCAGAGCCTCCAGAGCCTGGGACAGCAGACCTGTTCTGACAATGAACTTCTGAAGTCATGGGCCTTGATTGCGGTGGTCTGAATCAGATCTAGCCCTTTTCAGGGAAGGAGGGAGCTTCTGGGAGGATGAATGCAGCTCGGGTTAGAGCTCGTGTGGACCTGGCTGCAGGCAAAAGTCTAGAGGCTGAGTCCCTTATGTGGCATGGTGGACAGACCCTCACCCAGCACAGCCGGGCTTGTCGCCGGGGCTCCTACTCCACACCCCTCCCTAAGCTGCCCGTATGGTTGCTGCCCTCTGATGCTGAGGCTGGAGTAGTCATTTCAAAACCTTGTTCTGCATTATACAGCCGTGTCGACTGGGCGCAGTGGCTCATGCCTGTAATCCTAGCACTTTGGGAGACCCAGCAGGGCAGATTGCCTGAGCTCAGGAGTTTGAGATGAGCCTGGGCAACACAGTGAAATCCCATCTCTACTAAAATACAAAAAATTAGCCGGGCATGGCAGTGTGCAACTGTAGTCCCGGCTGTTCAGGAGGCTGAGACAGGAGAATTGCTTGAACCGGGGAGGAGAGGTTGCAGTGAGCCGAGCTCATGCCGCTGTACTCCAGCCTGGGCCACACAAGTGAAACTGTCTAAAAAAAAAAAAAAAAAAAAAAGCCATGTTGGGCAGATCTAGACTGCTGGACCGACAGCAGAGGGCAGACAGGCATCCCCTCTGATCTCCCCAGTTCCACCAGCACTGGCACAGCCTCAGCCCAGGGCGTCATCAATGAAGCTCTCCCTGACTCTGCGCAGACAGAGCTTCCTCCGGCCACCCTCACTCAGCCAGAATTGTGTGCTGCTGGTGACTGGCACCCCCCTATTCTAGGGCCAAGGCCTCTCAGGGGTCTACAAATACAAAAATGGGTGGGGGCACACCCTTGCTACAAACCACACTAAATGCATAATGACTGCCTGCAGGTTTGGGGGGCAGGGAACAGCTCTGGGCAGGAGGTTGGAAATTTGGTCTGGGGGATCAACTCATGAATTTTCTCTGCATCCCTTCCCTCCCTCCCTCAGCCCACAGTGAGTCTGGCTTCTGAGTTGTCCCAGCCTGGCCACTTTCATTTCCCCTGTGGTTGGGTGGCCGCTGGGGCAGAAAGCGGAACTAAGCCCCCATGTTCTGAGGCCGGGGCAGGGCTGGAGGGTTCTGAACACCTCCCTGTCCCGGCCCCAGGGCCAGGCCAGGGCCTGCCTTACCTCTCTTGGGACCTTGGCAGCCAAGCTGGGCTCTGAGGGAGGCCTGCGAGGCAAGATGCTAACAGCTCAGAGAGAGCACTAGGCAGATGCAACCCCAAAAGGTACTGGGCAGTGAATTTCAGGGGAAACTGAGGCTCTGTGCTGCAAGGTCCAAGCAGGCCGGGAAAGACAGAGGGAATTCAGCTCAAATCTTTGCTTCTTACTTGCTGAGCAACACATTCACCTCTGATGGGCTGTGCTGTATAATGGCCCAGTTCTGTCTTCCACGCTGGGGTCTCCAATGAAAAGCCAAGGGCATGGGTAAGGGGAGGAGAGAGGGACAGAAGGGGGCTCAGGACTGTGGAGTGTTTCCAGCTCTGGGCAGATGGAGGGGAGGAGGCAGGGTCCCACCTGCCTGACTCCAGGGAGGCAGCGAGGCTGTGGCCTGGGAGGCAGGACTCCAGCCCCTTTGTAGGTAGTGGTTAGAGCTGTGGCCTCTGCTTCCTGCATCCTTCCTAACAGGCTCTGGCAGGTGTTAGGGCCTTCCTAAGTGCTGCACGAATGCACATCCACTGGGAGGAGAAGGGGTGGACCAGGAATCTAGGAGATGAAGGGCCCTAGAGAGGTAACATCTCAGTTTGGTGGCTGCTGTCATTGGAGGTAGGTTGAGTTGGTTGATGGGATTTCTCTAAAGATGTCGAGATTGGGGAACTTCCTCCCAGAGGGAAACTGAGGAAGAAAGGTAGCTCTGAGAGCTGGGTGTGGAAACCCAGCCTCATTCACATGTTCTGCTTTCCTCCAGGTGCCCTGGGAACTTGAGATGAGATTTTTTTTTTTTTTTTCACTCTTGTTGCCCAGGCTGGAGTGCAATGGCTCTATCTCGGCTCACCACAAGCTCCACGTCCCAGGTTCAAGCAGTTCTTCTGCCTCAGCCTCCTGAGTAGCTGGGATCACTGGCATGCACCACCACGCCCGGCTAATTTTTTGTATTTTTAGTAGAGATGGGGTTTCTCCATGTTGGTCAGGCTGGTCTTGAACTCCCGACCTCAGGTGATCTGCCTGCCTTGACCTCCCAAAGTGCTGGCATTACAGGCATGAGCCACCACCCCCAGCCAAGATGAGATTCTTGTTGAGGGCATCTCCGGAGGGGATTCTCAGGGGATGGAGGGTGAGAAAACTTGGGCAGGGAAGAACTAAAACGGGGATGTGGACTGAGAGGGAGGCTGGCTTCAGGCTGAGCCCATGGGAGTGCTCGCTGCCCCAGGTAGCCCAGCTTCAGACAAGACAGCCGGCTTTTGTCCCTAGCATCGGGCAGTCACTGACTGTGGCTGTCCCCCCAGAGTGAGGGGTGGGCCTAACCTGTGTTGTGAGCAGTGGAAGGCAGTTCTCTGGCCAAGGGGCTGCTCACTGCTGTTAGCGGCTGGAGGATGGATGCCCCTGCCTGGTAAAAGGCATTGGCTGGGGGCACCCACAGCATTCACTGACTCATAACTCTTCCTTGCCTTCCCCCAAACACAAAATTCTGTGACACTGACAAGAAAGTTGATCCTTGGAAAAGAAAGTTGGCCTTAAATACCTAAACGGACTAGAGAGACTATTCTTTGGGGCCCATAGCTTGACCTGTGAGCACCCTGTTGCCATCCACCTGCAGACCTGCTGAGTCCCCTCTGGCTTTCTCCTGCAGACCCCTCTGCCATGAACCAGTCCATCCCAGGGGCTCCCACCCCGCCCCGCCGCGTGCGGCTGAAGCCCTGGCTGGTGGCCCAGGTGAACAGCTGCCAGTACCCAGGGCTTCAGTGGGTCAACGGGGAAAAGAAATTCTTCTACATCCCCTGGAGGCATGCCACAAGGCATGGTCCCAGCCAGGACGGAGATAACACCATCTTCAAGGTAAGCCCTGGCAAGGAGGCTGTCTGGACCTCCAGGGTACCCAGTCCCTAGAACAGGAGCACACATAACACGGACAGCTCCTCAAGGCTGGCCACTCACCCAGCTGCCGTGCTGCTGTGGACACCAGGCCCGGACTAAGGAAATGCAGACATAGCCACAGGTCACAGCTTTTCTTTTTTCTTTTTTTTTTTTGAGATGGAGTCTCACTCTGTCGCCAGGCTGGAGTGCAGTGGCACAATCTCGGCTCACTGCAACCTCCGCCTCCTGGGTTCAAGCGATTCTCGTGCCTCAGCCTCCTGAATAGCTGGGATTACAGGCGCTCGCCAGCACACCAGCTAATTTTTGTATTTGTAGTAGAGACGGGATTTCACCATGTTGGTCAGGCTGGTCTCAAACTCCTGACCTCAGGTGATCTGCCTGCCTCAGCCTCCCAAAGTGCTGGGATTACAGGCATGAGCCACCGTGCCCGGCCTAGGGCACACCTCTTCCAGCCTGCACCCCAGAGCAATGTGGGGACTAAGGGTCCACGGAAGACTTTCCCATAACTGGTCATACTCACTCTTTGTTCTTGTCTTACTTCTGTTACTCATGAGGATATGTTCACTGCACACATATGCTAAAGGAAGCCAAAAATCCACCTATCATTATTCTAAAATTTTTATTTTAAATTAGTATATATTTATGGGTTCACCGGTTCACCACTGTGTATAGTAATGATTTGATAAGTATAGTGATCAGATCAGGTAATTAGCATATCCATAATCTCAAACATTTGTCATTTCTTTGTGTTGGGAACAAACTATTTTTAATATGAGATTCAGACATATCAATCTTTTAATTTTTTGATTAATTTTTTTTTGAGACAGGGCCTCACACTGTTGATCAGGCTTGAATTTTTTTTTTTTTTTTTTTTTTTTTTTTGAGACAGGGTCTAACTCTGTCACCCAGGCTAGAGTGCAGTGTGGTGATCTCAGCTCACTGCAGCCTCAAACCCCTAGAGTCAAGCAATCTGCCCACCTCGGCCTCCCAGACTGCTGGGATTACAGGTGTGAGCCACTGCACCTGGCCCAATCTTTTTTCTTTAATTGACATATAACAATTATACATATGTACCCTTTTTTTTTTTTTAAGAGACGAGGTGTTGCTCTGTTGCCTAGGCTGGTGAGCAGTGGTGCAGTCATAGCTCACTGCAACCTTCAACTCAGCTCAAGTGATCCTCCAGCCTCAGCTTCCTGAGGAGCTGTGACTACAGGTATATGCCACCATGCCCAGCTAATTTTTTTTTTTAGACTGAGTCTTGCTGTCTCCCTGACGAGTGAAGTGGTGCAATCTCAGTTCACGGCAACTTCTCCCACCTGGATTCAAGCAATCCTCCTGCCTCAGCCTCCCGAGTAGCTGGGATTACAGATGCCCGACACCACACCGGCTAATTTTTTTTTTTTTTTTTTAATTTTTAGTAGAGATGAGGTTTTACTATCTTGGCCAGGCTAGTCTTGAATTCCTGACCTCATGATCCACCTGCCTCAGCCTCCCAAAGTGCTGGGATTGCAGGCATGAGCCACCGTGCTCAGCCTAATTGTTTGATTTTGATTTTTGTAAAGATGAGGTCTCACTTTGTTGCCCTGGCTGGTCTCAAGCTCCTGGGCTCAAGTGATCCTCCCACCTCAGCCTCCTGAGTAGCTGGTAGCACAGGCGCAAGCCACTGTGCTCTCTCCAGTAATGCTAGGATATACCCAGCATAATAGTTTTTGCTTACATTTTTAGTTTTCTACACGTGAGTGTATATGAAATGCAAAATTGGAATCAAGTGATATGTCTTGTCTTATAAGCTGGATTTTTTTTCACCCCAATATCAGGTTCAGCTTTCCTTTCCAACATAATCCACACCACTACTCGTGACTGTAGAATTTCCACTGGAAGGTTTTAGCACAATTTGGTCACCGATTCTTGGTGTTTGGATACTTGAGGTTGCTTTTAAAACCCAAAGTTAAAAACCATATTGTCATGTAGGCTGTCTTAACGCTTCCCTTTTTTTTTATCCTCAATTATTTTGGAGGTTGATTTCCTAGAGTTGAAAATCGCTGGGCCAAAGGCGAGGCTTATTTTTTACAGCTTCGGATACGTATTTTCTTAGTTTTTGGACTTGATCCTTACCTTTCCAAAGTTCTGTTGCTAAGCCATTTTTTATTTTTGTATAGGTAATACAGTTATACAAGTCAACATTAAAAGGCATAGAATGGTTTAGAGCAAAAAAATCTCCCTCCTATCCTGTTTCGCCACCAGCCTCTCCCTTTCCCTAGAGGCAGCAGTGTTCTCATTTTCTTTTTTTAGCTTTCCTGAGATGTTTTTATGCACATATAAGCAAGTATGCACTATCGTTTCCTCTACTTTTCTTTTTTCATTTTCATTTTTTTTTTTTTTTTGAGATGGAGTCTCGCTCTGTTGCCCAGGCTGGAGTGCAGTGGCGTGATCTTGGCTCACCATAATCTCTGCCTCCCGGGTCCAAGCAATTCTTCAGTCTCAGCCTCCCAAGTAGCTGGGATTATGGGTGCGTGCCACCATGCCTGGCTAATTTTTGTATTTTTAGTAGAGATAGGGTTTCATCATGTTGATCAGGCTGGTCTCGAACTGCTGACCTCACGATCCACCCACCTCGGCCTCCCAAAGTTCTGGGATTACAGGCACGAGCCACCGTGCCCAGCCTCCTCTACTTTTCATAGAAATGCTAGATGTCTGCATATCCATCTGTACTTAATACTTCTTGACAATTGCTGCATGTCAGTATACAAACAGTTTCCTGCTTTTTGTTTTTTTGTGCTGCCTGGTATTTTCATTCAATGGGTTGGCCATCATTTCACCAGCCCCTCATTGATGGATGTTGCATTGGGTATTTTGGGTCATCTTTTATACACAGTGCCACTGTGAATAACCTTGTATGTACAATATTTTGTGTGAATGCTTCTTTGATATTTAGGATGAATTCCTAGAAATCAAATAGCTGGGTTAAAGGGTTAGAAAGAAACATTGGTAATCCTCACCTCACCTAATTGCCATTCAAAATAAACCAACAGCTCCAGTGTAGTGAGCCCATCCTATGTGCAGGCGTAGCTCTGAGTGCTTTATGGACATCAAACCCACTCATTGTCTTTGAGCCAGGGTATCACTCTGTCACCCAGACTGGAGTGAAGCACATAGTCACGGCTCACTGCAGCCTCCATCTCTCCAGCTCAAGCAATCCTCCCACCTCAGCCTCCTGAGTAGCTGGGACCACAGGCGCCCATCACTATGCCCAGCTAATTTGTTGTATTTTTTGTAGAGACAAGAGTCTTGCTATGTTGCCTAGGCTGGTCTCCAACTCCTGGGCTCAAGCGATCCTCCCACCTCAGCCTCCCAAAATGTTGGGATTACAGGCGTGAGCCACTGTGCCTAGCCAACATCAACCCCTTGAGTCTTCACTGCCCCTCCATGAGGTGGGCACTGTGAGATCACGAGAAAGGGAGGCAGTGACATGGCCTGGCACACAGCTGGCAGGGGGCACATTCCAGATTCGGACCCAGCCTGGCTCCATTGTGCTAACTCTTATCCCCTATGCTGTCCTTAGAGATCACACCGGTTCACGTTGCCGGAAGCAGGGACTGTGGATACATCTCACAGCCCCTAGATTCCATGGAGTTTGCTGGCAGCCTGAGGGCTGAGGCAGGACTGTGGCAGATCCCCATGCTGCAAACAAGGTCTGGGCTCAGTGAGGCTCAGCCTGTGGCCGAAGGTCTCCCCACGCAGTGGGGTCTCCTATGGAATGGGAAGCAGACAGGGGCTGTGGTGGAGACAAAATTCTCTGTGGTCAGCTGTCTCTTCCTGGCCCAGGCCTGGGCCAAGGAGACAGGGAAATACACTGAAGGGGTGGATGAAGCCGATCCAGCCAAGTGGAAGGCCAACCTGCGCTGCGCCCTTAACAAGAGCCGAGACTTCCGCCTCATCTACGACGGGCCCCGGGACATGCCACCTCAGCCCTACAAGATCTACGAGGTCTGCTCCAATGGCCCTGCTCCCACAGGTATCAGGCCTAGCTCTGTGTGAGCCACCTGGGAGGCTGTGCAATGACCCGGCCTCTAGCCATGAGCTGCTGAGTGCGGGCAGGCCAGGGCCCCTCTAGCATGCAGTGGTCCAGGACATGCTGCCACAGCTTCCACTAGGTCATGACACCCAGGGCTTCCAGGAGTGGCTGGGATGGGTCACTGGTGGATCAGGATGGCTTGGCATGCAGTCAGGGACCTGGGTTCTTCTTCCTTACCATTGCCCTTGTTCTGGCTTCTGGTTCCAGCCTAGGTCTCGTGGCCCATGGAGTTGGGGAGGTCTTTCCCCATCCTGGTGGCTGTGCCCTCCCTCTTGCCCTGTGTTGGGGCAGCTCTGGGGAGGGCAGAAGCCGCACAGGAGCTACAGGCAGCCTCTCGGGGGATCTGGCTCCTCCTCTGACGTTGACTCCTTGACTGTCCTTCTTTTCTCTCCCCACTGTGCAGAGTCCCAGCCCCCTGAGGATTACTCTATTCCAGGAGAGGAGGAGGAGGAGGAAGAGGAAGAGGTGAGAGTGGGTCGGGGAGGCAGATGGGGCCCTGGGCGGGCTCTCTGCTGTCCCAGTGGCCTTAGGCCAAAGTCTGGCTCCCCTGGAGGCCCGTGGTCCTCTCAGTGGCTCTTCTCCTTGTTTCTTCTCCTGGGATTCTGAACGATAAGAGCACAGTCCCCACCTGCTCCTTCCCAGGACATTGTCGTTATTCTGCATGTGTGACCCGAGCAGCAGTTTGGGCTTGGTAGGTCTGACTCCCCGCAGAAGGCAAATGAGGAAAGTGAGGCACAGGGCTTTTCTGACCTGTCTGGGATGGCTGAGCTGGGACCGCAGGCAGGGTCTTGCCTGCGTTAAGCGGAGACTGGGAGAGTAGCCTCATGGTTCTCGCGTGTTATTTCCCCAGCTCAGTGGAATAACCTGTCCTCCCTTCTCTCCATCTCTTCCCTCCTTTGCCTGTGGCATCCCTTCAGCTGCAGAGGATGTTGCCAAGTCTGAGCCTCACAGGTGAGGCTGGGAGGTGGTGGTGGTTGGGAATCTAGTATACGGAGGAGCTATAGGTACTATAGGTACCTGGGAGGGGGCTGATGGGAGGCTGGGGTGGCCCAGGGCTGGGAGTAGGTGGGCCCAGGAGGCAGTTCCTGGAGGTGGCACTGACAGCCGTCCATACACACTCTTTAGATGCAGTGCCGCCAGGCCCCGCCATGGCACCCTATTCTTTACCCAAAGAGGATGTCAAGTGGCCACCCACTCTGCAGCCGCCCACTCTGCAACCACCCGTGGTGCTGGGTCCCCCTGCTCCGGACCCCAGTCCCCTGGCTCCTCCCCTTGGCAACCCTGCTGGCTTCAGGGAGCTTCTCCCTGAGGTCCTGGAGCCTGGGCCCCTGGCTGCCAGCCTGCCCCCTGCAGGCGAACAGCTCCTGCCCGACCTGCTGATCAGCCCCCACATGCTGCCTCGTAAGGGACCCACGGCTGGGCAGGGGGAAGCAATGCTGGGGGCGGTGGTAGGATTGGCAAGGAGGGTGGAGGGTGCTGGAGCCCCTTGAATGGGGAGAGAAAGTGGGAGGGCTGATGGGGCTGGGCCTGGCCACTGGGAGGCAGAATGGGGAGGTGTGAGGCTCAAGGATGGGGTGGGCCTGCCCTTCTGCCCCACAGTGACCGACCTGGAGATCAAGTTCCAATACCGGGGGCGGCCACCCCGAGCCCTCACCATCAGCAACCCCCACGGCTGCCGGCTCTTCTACAGCCAGCTGGAGGCCACCCAGGAGCAGGTGGAACTCTTCGGCCCCATAAGCCTGGAGCAAGTGCGCTTCCCCAGCCCTGAGGACATCCCCAGCGACAAGCAGCGCTTCTACACGAACCAGCTGCTGGACGTCCTGGACCGCGGGCTCATCCTCCAGCTCCAGGGCCAGGACCTGTATGCCATCCGCCTGTGTCAGTGCAAGGTGTTCTGGAGCGGGCCTTGTGCCTCAGCCCATGACTCATGCCCAAACCCCATCCAGCGGGAGGTCAAGACCAAGCTCTTCAGCCTGGAGCACTTTCTCAATGGTGAGTGGCTGAAGTCGTGATCCTCCCGGCCACCTCTTGCCCAGGAACACGGTTCCAGCCTCTGACTAGGAAACTTGATCTTGATGCAGAGCTCATCCTGTTCCAGAAGGGGCAGACCAACACCCCACCACCCTTTGAGATCTTCTTCTGCTTTGGGGAAGAATGGCCTGACCGCAAACCCCGAGAGAAGAAGCTCATTACTGTACAGGTACGTCTCCCCTGCCCCAAAGTCAGTCCTGGCTTGACTTTGGCGAATCCCGGGGCTAGGCCCTTGCCCCAGGCTGGAGGCTGAGGGCTCCCCGAACAGCGTGAACTTGGCCGCCAGAGACTATCAAGGCTCAGGGCCAGAGAATGCAGTCTATTACTCACCCCTGATGGCTGCCCTCATGCACAGCTGGATCTGGCAGCCCTGCCATGGGTCTCCCTGTCTTATCTCCTTTTTGCCTCCCAGGTGGTGCCTGTAGCAGCTCGAATGCTGTTGGAGATGTTCTCAGGGGAGCTATCTTGGTCAGCAGATAGCATCCGGCTACAGATCTCAAACCCAGACCTCAAAGACCGCATGGTGGAGCAGTTCAAGGAGCTTCATCACATCTGGCAGTCTCAGCAGCGGTTGCAGCCTGTGGCCCAGGCCCCTCCTGGCGCAGGCCTTGGTGCTGGCCAGGGGCCCTGGACTATGCACCCAGCTGGCATGCAGTAACAAGGCTGCAGATGGTGACTGGCCCTGGCTTCCTGGGTGGCTGTGCAGACTAATTTGGAGGTATGACAGCCCCGGTGAGCACTGCCTGGCTGCAGGGTCCCACCTCTGGGTTTCCTGGAAGTGGATTTGGGCCAAGAAGGAGCAGGGAGAGAGGCCTGAGCCCCAGCTTCTCCCTCAAAGCTTTGCTTTGAGGGTTCTGTTTTCCTGTGCCCCTCTCCTGGGCTCTCTCTAGTCTGGTCAGCCTGGCTCCTGAGAAACTCAGCCATGAGCAAGGAAGGAACGCCCCCCCACCCCCAACCCTCAGGCCTAGTTTACAGGAAGAATTGCCTAAGGGTGGCCCACTCTTGTGATTGCCCCATTTCCTCTGGCAAAAAAGCCAAAGAGTGTTGTGGGCCAAGTCCCCCCGAAAGGCCTCTGCAGGGCATGGCCCAGATTTCCCTGGTTTGAGCCTCACTTCCTCATCTTCCTCTCCTCTGAGATAGACATGAGTGACCACTTAGGTATCACATCAGATGCTCAAGGCTGGCAGCTCCCCCTTTTCTTGAGAGTCCAAGAACCTGAGGTAGAAAGAATTTTTATGTATTTTTGGATTAATAAATGTTAAAAACAGACTCAGCTGTTTCTTTCCTTTTTCTGCTACCAGTTGCTCCCATGCTGCTCTACCAGGCCCTGTTTCGGATGCCAGCTGTCCCCCGAGCACCTGCCCCCTGCTTGTGGCCATTGGCATTGGGAGGGCCTACCTTCTGGGCTGATGAGTCAGTTGGGCCTTCATAAACACTCACCTAGCTGGCTTTGCTTTCCAGGAGGAAGCTGGCTGAAGCAAGGGTGTGGAATTTTAAATGTGTGCACAGTCTAGAAAACTGTCAGAATCAGTTTTCTCATAAGAAATGGTGGAAAAGGACAGGCTAGCACTGCAGCTGCATTTGGCACCATTCAAATCTGTCATCCTCGAGTATACTCCTGTGCTATTAAACACATCAGGGCAATGCATACAAACCGTCCTGATATATTTAATGTACTTATTATATTGTCCCCTGAGGTTGGGGGAGTGAGGTCTCACCGTTAGTCCTCCCAGAGCTGGCTGTTA